AGCTGGGAGGCACTAAGCAAGTTATTCTTCGCCATGGATCGAATAAAATACAGCGCTTCTGGCCACGTATTTCGCTCTGTAGTAGCAGCAGCAGCAGCAGCAGCAGCAGCAGCCGTAGCAGCGGGTATAACTGTAAGGGAGCCGCAATAATCCTCCTATACGTCGCATGGCGGAGAAGGGCATCATTAGGCCCTACAGTGTGTGGTAACTCTATGTGTGTCTGTCAGTATGTCTGTCTGTCCGTCCGTCCGTCTGTCTGTCCGTCTGTCTGTCTGTCTGTCTGTATGTATGTATGTCTGTCTGCCTGTCTGCCTGCCTCTTAGTTTGTCTGTTCGTGTGTCTGTCTGTCTGTCTGTCTGTCTGTCTGTCTGTCTGTCTGTCTGTCTGTCTGCCTGTCTGCCTGTGTGTTTGTCTGTCTGTCTGCCTGTCTGCCTGTGTGTTTGTGTGTCTGTCTGCGTGGCTGCGTGACTGTGTCTGTATCTAATCTCTCTCTCATATCTCCTCCCCCTCTCTCTGTCTGTCGGGTCGAGGTGAGGTGGGCTGTGGTGTTTTTATTGGGTAAGGGAAGGTGAGGAGGGGGAAGTGAAGTGAGGAGAGATGATGTGAGATGCGGTGACATGAGGTGAGGTGGTGTGAGGTGAGGTGAGGTGAGGTGAGGTGAGGTGAGGTGAGGTGAGGTGAGGTGAGGTGAGGTGAAGTAAGGTGAGGTGAGGTGAGGTGAGGTGAGGTGAGGTGAGGTGAGGTGAGGTGAGGTGAGGTGAGGTGAGGTGAGGTGAGGTGAGGTGAGGTGAGGTGAGGTGAGGTCAGGTCAGGTGGTGTGAAGTGAGTTGAGGTAAGATGAAGTCCGCGCATAGTTTAGTATCCCCGCGGCGTTGGCGTACAGCAGAAAAAAACAGAGTAGCTTCGTTTAAAAGGGTAGAGAGTGAGATGAGAATGAGGAAACGATCGGGTGTAGTCTTGGTAAGCAGCATGCCCGCGTACTCTTCCTTGAATGGGACCAATAGTAGTTTGAGAATGAGCGGAGAACCGCCTGTGGTGTAGTGCCCTATACTATACGTTACCACTCAATGTATAGCGAGTAGGGCTAGATATCTAGCTGCCTTTGAATGGCGGGCAGAGGGGGAGGCGAGGATGATGAGCTGCATGCGTGTGTTATAACCTCTATGCTCGATGTGTAACGAGCAGGGCTGATTATGCGGAAAATTGAGGCAGAAGGAATTACGAAAGAAGCGGACAGGCACCGAATGCACTGATCATCAGTGAATTGAGTCGGCGACCAGAGCGCATTAGCGAACAGATTACGTTCGAGGCTTACGCTACCCACTGTAATCACACTAGCACGCTCTCTCTCTCTCCCTCTCTCTCTCTCTCTCTCTCTCTCTCTCTCTCTCTCTCTCTCTCTCTCTCTCTCTCTCTCCTCTCTCTATATTATATAATATATATATCAGTATATATATATATATATATATAGTAATATATCCCCTTTCTCTCTATCAGGTTATTCTGGTCACGAGCAATGCTCTCTGTAAAGAAATCCGACGCCCGATTTATTTCATGCGCGCTGCGCGTATAACATGATCTATCAATCTTCATCATGCATCTACATCGTCATCGATGCATCAATCATCATGCAAATGCTGCTCTTTTCTCAACGTCGTCGTCCGTCGTCCCGTTCGTAGTCCGTCGTCATCATCAATATTATTTTTGGTTAGCCGCACGTCATCGTGTGTAAATACGAAGATTGGCGCGCGCGCCGGATCTGTAAACGTATTTTCTCCGTCTCTCTTTCCCTCTCTTTGTTTCCTCCGCTCTCTCATCTCTGTCTATCTTATCTCTCTATCTCTTTTGCTCTCTCGCTCTCTCTTTCGCTTTCTTTCTTTGTCTTTGTCGTTCTCTTTCTCACCGCTCTCCATCTGCTTCTTCTCGCCTGTCTCTTAACGAACCCGTCTATTCTCTTACCGCAGCGCTTTTCTTTTTTTCATCCTCGGCTCCCCCCCCCTCTCTCTCTCCTCTTTTGCTTTCACGCTCTCCCTTTCTCTCGCGCTCTCTCTGACTCTCTTTCCCACTCTCTAACCCTCCCTACCGCTCTCTCTCTCACTCTCGCTCTCTCTCTTTCTTTCGCTATTCCCGCCGAACAAACGGACCTTGAGCTACTACTGCTGCTGTTGCTGCTACTACTGATAGTACTTGCTACTGCCACTACTACTGCTTCAGCTGTTGCTACTGGACTACTGCTTACTGTTGGCTACTGCTACTGCTGCTTGCCGCTACTGCTACTGGCTTACTGCTGCTACGTACTGCTGGCGTACTATATTACGCTGCACTTACTATACTAGCTACTACTACTACTACTACTACTAACTACTAGCTACTAACTACTACACTACACTACTACTACTACTGCTGGCTTATGCTGCTGCTGGCTCTGCTGCTGCTACTAACTGACTACTACTACTACTACTGGGGCCCGTTGCAAAAAAAATTTTTTTAATAAGGTTTTTCTTAACATTAACCTTAAACTTTAAGCTTTTTCTCTTAAAGCGTTGCCAAGAAACTTCGTAAAGTAAGATAATTAAAAATTCTCATGCGTAAAACTTTTCTCTGTAACTAAGGGATCCTAGACCCTCCCCATTAACTTACAGTATAAGTTGAAATACACATTTACACAGCACGAATTCAATTAAAGTGATATTGATATTTATAATAATGAATAACAATGGTGTTTTATTGAAAACAGCGTCAAAAATCATTATTATCTACGCGCTAATAAAACAAAAACAATACATTTATAAATGACGTAATCATTATGTTTTCTGTTTAAAAGGTTTGCAACGCTTGCCACGATTCTCGCTGTCTCGTGTTACAGGTGAGATTGTCATTGTTGTGCAGAATTAATTCATGCCACGTAATAATTCATCAAATAATTATTTATATGTTTTTAGCCATCATAATATGCCATAATAATTACTGTGATGTACCAATAAATGTGTATGAATTTGATTTTGATATCGATTCCCATCCAATTCAGGCAGCCTTGTGATGAAGTTCCTGTTATCCGTAAAAGTTTTCACTTAAGTAAAGTTTAGTTTAAGTGGTTTCTGCAACGCTATTAATAATAAACCTTAACATTAACATTAGAACTTAAAAATTAATCGTAACTTTACGAAGTTTCTGGCAACGGGCCCCTGTGACTGCTGGCTGTTATTGCTACTGTGCGTGACGCGCTGGCTACTACTGCTACTGCTACATACTACTACTATTACTGCTACTGCTACTACTGCTACTATGCTAGCTAAACTGGTGTCAACTGCTACTACTGCTGCTGCTGCTAATGCTAACTGCGTCTACACTGCTGCTGCTACTATTGCTGCTACTAATCTTGCTGTCTAATTGCTACTGTGCTACTACACATGCTGGCTACTATCTGGCTAGCTGCTGCTGCTGCTATTGTGCTACTGCTGCTACTATACTGCTGGGCTAATACTACTGCTGCTACTACTGTGCTGCTACTACTGGCGCTGCTATTTGCTACTGCTGCTACGGCTGCTACTGCTACGTTGACGGGCCGCACCCGACGCTGCTAGCCCTTACTACTTCTGAGTTCTAGGCTTACCGTACGTGTTGCCGGCGCCATGGTCTCTGCAGGAGCACCTTAAACAACGGGAATCAAAGAAATCCGGTGCACGTGAGGCCTCGCGTGAATGTGGTGTTTGCGTGCGCGTGAAACGCGCGCGTAGCGGCCATAAAGCGGCTACCCTATTAGTTCGTTTGCACGGGAGAAAGAGCTGTGGCAGCATTACCGATAGATTTATATACAGGTTTGCTGTGAACACTATTATCTTGATCATTTATTATACATCTATGAAGCTATGCACTGAGTTAGGGTCGGCGCAGATTGCATGCTGGCCTGCATCAGTGAGGAGACTGCGAGATGAGAGACACGACAAACAGGCAACAGCAAGAAGAGCGGAATTGTTACGACGAAGAGAATTGAGAAGGCGGTAAGATGAAGAAGAAAGCGAGAGAGTCGCACAAGCTAGAAGTGGATACTACGAACAAGGTAAGAGGTGCGGAAGAGAGAATTGAGAAAGAGGAAAAGGAGACGAGAAGGAAAGAGAGAAAGGGGAGAGAGAGGAGTAGTGTTTGTAATAATATGTAGGTGTGTGCGCGGTGTGTGGCTGCTTGCGTGCGTGCGCAGCGTACATTTGATCTGTGTGAGTTCATAAACTAGAGAGCAGAGAGAGCCTTACTCAACATGTATCAATCTCTTGTAGCGAAAATGAAAACCGAGAATGGAAAGCGAACAGCGTCATCTATCGTTTGCATGCTAGCGCGCGCGCATTCCCAAATGTAACAGCTGCCATGACGTCTGAGTAGTCCCAGCAGCGCAGGCGTTTACCGCACGCCGATCCGCGAGATGCCAAACTCGCACGACAGAATATGGCGCTTCCTCGCTCTGGCTGCTCGCACTGCCACAAGCAGATTTTTCGTAGAATTTATTACGACTTAAATTTACTATCACAGGTACAGCGGCCCCGTTACACCTGTCCTATCGTAAACGGTTTTACATTAATAAAAGTTTGCAAAACATAATAAAATCGACCCATTATTTCATAAAAATTTTGGATAAATAGTGACACGAAATAGTACCTGATTGTGTCCGCATTTACTTGACTTTTAAAATAATTAACGGTGTACACGTTTTTATTTAATTATTTAATCATACATTTTTCGGATACTTTGCAAACATACATAATTCTACGAATATCTGTGTTTTATAAATTTTTGCATATTCAGCTTAAACATCTAATTTGTCGCACGACGACAAAAAATGAAAAACAAACTTGCGACAGTTGCGGCCGCATTGATTGCCTTCGCTGGATTTCCCCGAGCTCCGCCACTGTAAATAATAGTAAAGCTTTTGCGAAGTGGTAGCATGAGTTTGTAAAAAGGGGGCGCAATGCAACGTGGCGCTGCAATGCGCTCGCATGGGTGTCACATTCCCCCCGGGCGTAGAGGGAGGTGCCGCTACGTGGCAGCACTAGTCACTTTCGTACAATTCCGTCATTACCATCAGTCATACTTCTATGCCCTAGACTGGCTTTAAAATTTGTCGCTAACCCCTAACCCTAACGCTTAATCCTATACCCTAACCTAACGGCTAACCGCTGAAACCCTAAGCCTATGGGGTTGTCTATATTCAGGCACGTGCACAGGAGAAATTTGGAATATTTTTGTCACGTGGTTTGGTTTGGTTTAAAACCAAATCAGATGTAATCCGTGTTCGTGACCGTCATTCCAGTCTTGTATCGCCGCCAAAGCAATCTCATGTGCAGAGTGTGAAGGCATGGTGAGGTGTGAGAAATGAGGAGGAGAGAAGCTTGTGATAAGGAGGAGGGGGAGAAGCTGGTGGAGAATGAGGAAGGGGAGAAGGACGTGGTGAAGAAGGAGGAAGCGGGAGATGCTGGTGAGAAAGGAGGAGGGGGATAGAAGCTGGTGGAGAAGAGGAAGGGAGAAGGGGAAGACTGGTGGAGAAGGAAGAAGGGGAGAAGGCTGGTGGAGAAGAGGAAGGGGAGAAGGGAGAAGGTGGTGAGAAGGAAGAAGGGAAGCCTGGTGGAAGAAGGAGAGGGGAGGAGGAAAAGGGTGGTGGAAAAGGAAGAGGAGAGAAGCTGTGAGAAGGAGGGATTTGGGAGAAGAGAGAAGGTGGTGAGAAGGAGAAGGGGAGAAGGCTGGTGAGAAGGAGGAGGGGGAGAGGAGAGAAGGTGGAGGAAAGGAGAAGACTGGTGGAGAAGGAGGAAAGGGGAAAGGGAGAAGGTGGTGGAGGAGGGGAGAAGCTGGGTGGAGAAGGAGGAGGGGAGAAGCTGATGGAGAAGGAGGAAAGGGAGAAGAGGGAGAAGGGAGTGGTGGAAGGAGAGGGAGAAAGCTGTCGTAAGCTTCCTCGCTTCTCCACTCAGCTTCTCCTCCTTCTCCCACAGCTTCCCTTCTTCGCCTCCTCCTATCTCTACCACTTTCCCCCTCCTTCTCCCCTTGCCTCTCTCCACCAGCTTCTCCCCCTTCTCCTTCTCCACCAGCTTTTCCGCCTTCTCCCCTGCCTTCCTCCACCCAGCTTCCCTTCTCCCAAGTGGGCGGCAGGGAGAATTGCAGCCTCCATCTCCCCTTCCTCCTTCTCCACCAGCTTCTCCCCCTCCTCGCTTCTCACACTCATTCTCCGCATTCTCCCGCTCTTCCACCACGTTCTCTCTTCTCCCCTTCCTCCTTCTCCAACCAACTCTTACCCCTCCTCCACAACCTTCTCACTGTCCCCCTCCCGCTGTCTCCACCAAGGCTTCTTCGCCCTCCTCCTCTCCACCAACCTTCTGCCCATTCTCCCCTTGCCTTCTTCTCCACCAACTTCTCCCCTCCTCCTTTCTCCACACAACCTCTCCCTTCTCCCCTTTCTCCTTCTTCGCAAACAGCCATTCCTCCCTCCTACCTTCTCCATTCTTCCTTTCTTCATTCTCCACCAGCTTCTGCCCCCTCGGCTCCTTCTCCAGGGCCACATTCCTCCCCATCCTCCATTCTCCACCACCTTTTCCCTTCTCGCGCTTCCTCCATCTCCACCACTTCTCCCCTCCTTCTCCACTAGCTTCTACCCCTCTCTCCACCACTTCTCCCCACTCCTCCCTCTCCACGGACAGCTTCTCACCCTCCCTCTTCTGCCAACCCACTTTTCTCCTCTTCTTCCCCTTCCCTCACTTCTCCACCACTTCTCCCCTCACTTCTCCACCACGCTCTCCTTCTCCCCCTTTCCCCCTCATCGCTTCAATTCATCTTCTCTCCCCCTCCTCTATTCTCCACCCGCTTCTTCCTTTCTCCCCTTCCCTCATTCTCCCACGGCAGCTTCTCCCTCCCTCCTTCTCCACCAGCCATTTCTCCCCTCCTGCCTTCCTCCACCACCTTTCTCCCTTCTCCCTTCCCTCATTCTCCACCAGCATCTCCACCAGCTCCTCTCTTCTCCCACCAGCATTCTCTCCTCCTCCTTCTCCCACCACTCACCATGCTCACACTTTTGCACAGCAAGCTTTGGCGATAGCAGCTGAAAGTGACGTCACGAACATCGCGATACATCTGATGGTTAATAAACACAAACCACGTGACAAAATATGCAAAGTTAACTCCTTACGGCCTGAATAATAGACAAACCCAACCTAATCCTATACATTAGTGCTGCCCCGTAGGGCACCCTCGCTCCTACGTCCCGGAAGTAGACATCGGCACTCGCATAAGGCCTGAACGAGAGCAGTGCCGCCCTGGCGAGCTTTAACGCATCAAGCTCTAATTGCATGCCTGACGACTGAGGAGACCTAAAGGCTAAGCCGCGATGCGAGCGCTCATTCCATGTATAGGAAGTTAGGGTCAATTCTCGTTTTTCCCCTCTCACCTTCTCTCTCTCCTTCTCTCTCTACCGCTTTCCTCGTCTCTCTCTCTCTCTGCTCATCGTCTATCGTCATCTCTATCTCGAATCTCTATCATCTACTCTCTCTCTCTCTCTCCTCTCTCTTCTCTCGTCTCTCTCTCTCGCCGTCATCTCTCTTCTCTCTTCTCGCTTCGGGGTGGGCTACCAGCATCGTTCGGCGGGACGTCTTTTTCTCTCTCTGCTCTCTCTTTCTTTTTTCTTTCTATTTCTCTCTAACCCTGCACAGTTCTTCTCTCCCCCCTCTCTCTCTCTAACTATCTATCTATCTCTTGTTTGCTTTCTCTCCTCTATATTTCTCTCTTTCTCTTTCTCTCTCTCTCTCTCTCTCTCTCTCTCTCTCCCTCTTCTCCACTCCTCTCCTCACCTCTCCTCTCATCTTCTTCTCTCCTCTCTCTCCTCTCCCACACTCTCTCTCTCCTCTCTCCTGGCTCTCTCCTTTCTTTTTCCTCGCTTTTCGCCGCCCAACTATTGTCCGCCACAACGACTGTAATCATTTATCGTAGGCAAGAAGGCAATGTTCTCGGAACTCACCCCGATGATCACACGGGAAGCGAATCGACGAGATGGAAACTCGTCGTCGTCATTTCACACTCGTCAACGATAATCCTTTCAAAAGCGATCTGTCTAATTTAACGGCAGAATGGGTTGTTCGATGTGGAGTAACAGCGAAAATCCGAAACGAACAAAATCGAGATTCAAATTATACCGCAGACCAACGTCGCAAACAGACGTAGAGATGCTCACATCGCGCTGTTCTTCCTCTGCTCTCTCCTCTTCTCTCTTTCCCTTTTTTCTCTGATTCTCGATCTCCTCCTCTCTCTCTCGATCTCTCTCTCTGCTTTCTTATCTCTCTCCTCTCCCACCATCCCTCCCCGCTTCCTCTCTCTTTCTCATCATTTTTTCTCGTCCTTCCTTCCCCTCCCATTTCTTTTATACACATGTTGCTGCTCTCTAGGTTAATTTATGTAGTTGAAAGCGTCGCACGAGGTCTTGCTCATTCTGCACGAGGTCTTTTCTCATTATACCTTTCTTCCTCGCCCTGCTCCCATCTTCATACCTCCCCGTCCTCGTTCATGTTGTTCCCGCCGTCAATGCCCATGCTATTGCTATCTGCCCCAGATCCTGTCGGCTGCTCTGGCCCCTTTAATCCTGCTTCATGCTCCTGTCGTCTGCCCCTACTGATCGGCCATCATTCGTTCTTTCTCCTCCTTCTCCACTTGCTCCGAGCTCCTTCTCTGCCTCGGGCTTCATCGCCGCCTTCCTTCTTGTCTCGACCAGCATTGGCCAATGTTTGGTATTACATAATATTGGTTGACCATTGCGCCTAGTTGCGATTGTTGTTATTGTGAGTATCATGTTGCGAACGCCTCGCTGGTAGCCCAGCGCGCGTGACGCCTGAGTTGGCGCAAAGAGGCGAGAGAACCGCGTGACATGTATCACTCCACGCGCCGCAGAGTGAGGGCGAACAGGTGGGTCCTAGAGACCGAGGTGGAA